GCGATGGACTTCAACTCTTCATGCTCATTTTGTTCACGCAGTTCAGCTCCTCGGTGGCCATGAAAGTACGTTTTACAACAAAATACTATACTGACAGATTTCTTGCTACTGTCCTTTTGCTTTAGTTTAAATTTTCTTAAAGAGGAAGGCTAGGAAGGAAGAAGTCGCGAGACAAATAGTAACAGTACTGATCGACCTCTCATGCTAATACGAGAATTAAAGGCCGTTGATTTGCAATAACCTCTGTGTTCAAGAGAAATTTTTTTTCTTTTTTTTGTTCTAATTAGATGTACTGACAATAATTTTTTCGCCAGGAGCTACACCAAAATCAGTGCTGGAGTTGATGAACGTCAAGGATCTAACCCTAGCTCATGTCAAGAGTCATTTGCAGGTGGGATTACTGTGCTCAATCTTGTATTGTTTGAAAACAAGAGGAACATTTATTCTTCCTTTTGATTTTATTGTTTGCTTCTGTACTCTTCTGATGTCTTAGTATTAGCGATATGAATGTGTGTGAGTGGGTTGTGGTGGACTAGTACACACGGTTAGGACAAAAAAGCATCTTGAGAATCGAGAGTAATCTTACCAATGTGATTTTCTTTTTCTATTTTTTTTTTGATCTTTTTTTCTGTGGATGTTCATGCAGATGTATAGAACAGTAAAGAGCACTGACAAAGGAGCAGCAGGACCAATAGGTAATTGGATTTTTTGCCTCAAGGACCCCAGTTTTTCTTCACTTCCATCTTGATTTTTGTTTTTGATCGAACTTGAGGATTTTTCTTTTTATTTTTTTAATTTAGAATACAATATGAGTCTAGTTTGGTATGGACCAATTAATAGAGTTGGAGTACATGTGAATTATTTGCTATTTGTCTGATAAAGCTAACGCAATGGCTCTATGATTGTGTGTTTTGCAGGGCAGACAGACTTGGTTTTGAGCCAAGGGACAGGGATGGCTGAAGTTGAGAGCCTTGAAGCAGGCGTGGAACTGTCTTGTGAGAAGGCCGGTTCCAACCCTTCTGCAAATTCAATCAATATTTCACTACCATCATCATCACCATCACTACCAACAACACTACACAATGCTCAGAGGTGAGTGAGTAGTGAGTTAGTGCATCTGAAGAATCTGCAGCAATTCTGTCTTTCCATTTTTGTTTTTTATAGTACTCCTCCAACTTTTTCAATTGACAAGCTACATAAAGCATATTCCTCAAACAAATGATTAACATTTGAAAGATTTTTGGTCACACATGAAAGGAATCTAATCATCAGGGCTAGAATGCAGGCACTCTTTTACACAGAGTCACACACCAAAACAGATGCCTTGCCTTTGGGGCTTTTTCGGGTCCAACATACTCCTGTGTTTGTTTCTTCTGATGCTGTATTTAGCAATGCAAGGAATCAACTTTTTTTTTCTTCTCTTTTTGGTAGGAATAATAGTTTCAAATGAGTAAGGTAGCAATTCATCGGTCCTTTCCAAAAGAGAAAATTCAATAAACAAACAAATGGAGCAGGGTTCCGAGTTATTATGCTAGCCATATCCTACAGGATATTGGAATCCTCCGTTGCATTATTATCTGATGCTACTACAATTGTATTGTACCGTACCTTTAGACTTTAAGGATTTAGATGGTCCACGTACGGATTTCAAGGCACTCTAAAAGGTCAGGTAGTCGGTTCAAACCTCGATGCTATTTGTGTAGGAAAAGGATTCCAAAATACAACATTTCAGTTCAAGACTCCAGTGCCAATTAGCGTACCGTGCATGCGGCAGGAAGTTTGAAATCGAGTCATTAGCAAACTAGTTTACTTATTAGCTTCTAGTGTTGGAGTCTTTCGCTATTGGCTCGACTTAATTAGTTGGACTCTTTCATATAGACTAATTATGAAAGAATCGCAGATATGATCATTCAAAGTAATTATTTACTATCAGGAAATTTGCCAGCAAAGAATTGTACTGCAGAAATGAAGAAAATAGCATTTTACATGGATTAAAAGTTTGGATTAACTTTTTATGTAATGACAGTGTAGTGAATTTTTTTTTTACACTAAACAGTTTTGGATATATGGCATATGTGCAAGATTTGAATTTCAAATTTAAATTCATATCATGTGACATGATCTAAATCTACTTCTATATATAAAAAAAAAAAAAAATTACACTGATAGTATGACAGCATAGAATATAAAAAAGTTATCCTAAAAGTTTTATTTCTACTTTTGTCCGATATTGGAAAATGGACATGCCTAGTGGTAAAAGATCATGAGTTGTGTTCAACCATCCATCAAATTCCTGCTATTTTAAGTTTTCTTCAAGATCTTCACATCTGATTCTTGACATATGGCTGAACAGACCTTCATGTGAGTTGCCACCAAGGACAAATATATGGTGCCACCCAAGTCAAGAAAATTCATTGAGATGTTATCAACATGGAGACAAGGATACAAAGGTAACTACACATGTATTACCGTCTCTCGAGGCAAAAAGTTTAGGCTCACATTTTTTTTTTTTTTTCTAATTCTTTAAGAGTTATATAAGTAGTAGCATTAATTTTAACACATTGTTCCTCCTCTTTGATTGGACTTGTCTTAGGGTGCCGGAATTGATTCACTCCACCATATGTCCGGGAAAATGGAGAAGAAGCTAGATAGTAATAGTACAAATAGGTCAATGTTGGCATCTTCCGGCATGCTGCTCAATCTTGAGTTCACCCTCGGGAGGTCAAGCTGGCAACTGGACCACGACGCAAATAATACTACTGACTTGACCATTAATCTCAAATGTTGAAACCTGAAAGCTACAACTGGAAACATTTATTAATCTGGAAGTATCATCATTAATATCTTCTAGGACGAAAGGCATTTTTATGTGCCGATCTTTCGATTTTGTCTGGAAGCAACAAGTAATTCCTAGGGGAAAAAAAAAAGCAATGAGAAAACTAGTAGATGAACGTTTTTTGCAGTATTGATCAGATAGACAAATATAGGTTGGCATCTCTAGTTTATCTCTTATGTTGGAAAAATTGGTTTGCTTTAGCACTCAGTATGATCTCCCACCACCACAAAATAAATTCCAGAAGATTTATGCCATGCCCTTGAATAACCATAAAGATGCATAGCGCTTAAAAAAGAAAAAATGAATGACGTTGTTTGGAAGGGATAGTATAGTTTTAGATAGAGTTTTTTAAATCCACGGTGCTGCAGATTTGGTACATTATTTGCATAATTTTGGGCTCCGAACTTTAGTTCCTTCGCTAGGTGGTGGTCGGCGCACGGACTTCCTTCGCTGCACTGGTGTTGCAGCTTGGAATCCCACCGCTTCTTTCTAATTTGCCCAAATGAGGTGACGATGCGGGCTCTCTGCTGGGTTCTTCTGGATAAGCTCCAGGCTTGTTTTTGAGACAATTTTCACTATAATCTCTCTGTAGCAGTTCATATTCCCATGCTAGGCTCTTGACTTTGTCATCCCTTCAAACTAGTTAAGTTGACAGAAGAAAGCCCAGTTTTTCCGGTCTCAAGGTTCCTTAAAGCGTAGTTTGGCCCATTCCGTGACAAAATTCCACACACAATGACACAAGCTCCCATGTACTTCTGGACTTCGCCATGGGGCTATCCTATGGCCGTAATACGACAATAGCATCAAGCAGTCCTAGTCTAAGATTGTGAGGGTATCCTCTTGAGACGATGCTGCTGCTACTACACGACACAAGATAACTTAGCAGTCCACACATACTTTGTTGCTGATTGCAAGTCCGAACTCAGAAGTCAAGCCATCAGTTTTGAATATCAATTCCATGGCCAGCTGAAAATGAGGGGAAGTTAAACACCACCATTAGCACCGATTTGGGGTTACTCCGAATTCCACCTACTAGATAGATAACCCATGTAAAAGTTACAATTAATTAATCAGGCATTATGGTCTGGTTTCGTTTCGTTTGTAAATTGTAGACCAAAATCAAGAGTGACAGCGAGTCAATGATGATGACTCTGCAAGTTCTGTCTTGTTTTGCATTAAAAAAAATTCTACTTACTGAGAGCATCTTGATTTGTTAAACCCTTCTTTACCTGTTAAAGAATGTAATCAAGAAAAGAAAATGAGTAAATCTTTCCTACACTACTGACGTCATATATACTATCATCGTTGGATTCATAACATATATGCAGAAGTTGAATTTTAAATTTAAATTTTGCATGGTTACCTATCATCCAATATTGATAGTGTATATATTGTCAGTGTAAGAAAAATTAATCCAAAGAAAATACGAGGTATCACGACACCAGCGATTTTTAGCTGTCATCAAGTATGGCGATGGGCCTGCCTTGTAATTGATTAATCAAGAAAAGAAAATACGGGAAGGTTTCGGGACTCTACGCGCGATTTTTATGATGATGAGTAATTATGGCCTCTTAGCTCTAAACTATTCCCTTTGTCCCGCTTTAATAGAGTTGTTTTTATTTTTTATTCGTCTCAAATTATAGTCTATTTTTTAATTAAAAATTTATAATTAACGTGTAATTTTTCAAAAATTTCATATTTCATATAGGTTATTATTGAGTATAATTTAATTTATTTAATGTAAAATTAATTAGTCATGCTCCACTCCAGTAATCTAGATTTATGTTTTCAATAAAGCTAGCTAATCTTTCTTAAATTATTTGAAACAAAAAGTCAAAACTGTCAGTGTTGGGACAGAGGTAGTAGTAATTTGCTTCCTGTCAAGGTTGTAAAAATTGAGGCATAGTTAAAGCCGCAAGTCAAGATTAGACCAAATACAGATGCATCCGAATTCCAACCTTGACTACTAGCTAGCAACATGCAATCTTACACTTGGTTTTCAATACTATTTTCCACAGCCTTTTGTTTCCAACAGATAATTGTTGCCCAAGATAAATGAATAAATAAATAAGTGCCTCGTGACATCCCATCACTCTCCCAGACTAATTCTGCACAGACTAAATTCTTTAAACTTTTGACGAAATGACTCCACTATAAAATACATCACAGTAAAGGGACAACGTGGGAATTATCTTGATAAAAGAAATCTTTCCATACACTCTGCTAATTCAACATTTATTTAGTACTACTATAAATGAATTAAGCGCCGAATCGGCCCAACAAATTAATCCTACGTTCCCAGAAAGCTGTTTCTGAATCTTGTGCTAGGAGCCATGATGGAATGGTCTTTCCAGCACCTCAATGCTGCTGCAGTTGGACTGCTTGCTTTCTCCTTCTTCCTTGTCTACTTTTTCTTCAACAAAGATGCCAAAAAACATGGTTCAGTGCCACCAGAAGCAGGCGGTGCATGGCCTATTATTGGCCACCTTCACCTCTTAGGAAGAGGTCCAGAAAAGCTTCCCCACATTACCTTGGCAGCCCTGGCCGAGAAATATGGACCAGCCTTCACTATCAGGCTAGGAGTGCATAAAAACCTGGTTGTAAGCAGCTGGGAACTAGCAAAGGAGATATTCACCACCCATGACTTGGCTGCAGCATCACGTCCGAATTCTTTGGCAAGCGAACTCCTAAGTTATGACTATGCCAGTTTTGGATTCGCTCCTTACGGTGATTATTGGCGTGAGATGCGTAAGGTAATCTCCATCGAACTACTCTCCACTAAACGCCTTGAGCTCCTCAAGCACGTCAGGATTTCTGAGACTGACCTTTCCACCAAAGATCTTTACAATCTCTGGAATTCTTCATCAGGCCCTGTCCTGGTGGAAATGAAGCAGTGGTTTGCAGACTTGAATCTAAACGTGATCCTTAGGATGGTTGTGGGGAAAAGGTTCTTTGGGGCAACAGATGTTAGCGAGGAGAAAGAAGCAAAGCTGTGCCAAAAGGTGATGAGGGAGTTCTTTTATTTAACTGGGCTGTTTGTACTGGCGGACTCTGTTCCTTATCTGAGATGGTTGGACTGGGGAGGGTACGAAAGGAAAATGAAAGTAAATGCTCAAGAGATGGACCGGCTAGCCGACGGATGGTTGAAAGAACATCGTCGAAAGAAACAGTCGGGCGAGGCCACTAATGATCATCAGGACTTCATGGACGTCATGCTCTCACTCACAGAAGGTGCAGATTTTTCTGCTAGTTACGATGCTGATACTATCACCAAAGCTACTTGCTTAGTAAGTCCAGTATATATACTTTAATTTTGCTTATTCTCAATTTGTTTCTTTACAGCTGATCAATATCTAGAATATGTTTAGTTTAAAGAAAACTGCAAGTGAGTTCAAAATTTTGCTGTCTTTTGGACTTGACAGGGTTTGATTTCTGGTGGGAGTGATACCACTGTAGTGATGCTAACATGGACGCTGTCTTTGATAATGAACAACCCTCGAGTCTTGAAGACGGCTCAAGAAGAACTAGACCTGCACGTCGGCAAGGAGAGGCGGGTTACAGAATCAGATATTAGTAATTTGGTCTACCTCCAAGCCATCATCAAAGAAACGCTACGACTATATCCACCCGGGCCACTGGGGGGCACCAGAGAATTGAGTGAAGACTGTATTATAGGTGGCTATCATATTCCAAAAGGCACAAGAGTAATCCTGAACATGTGGAAAATCCAGAGGGATCCTAACGTATGGCATGATGGTCCGTTGGAGTTCAGGCCGGAGAGGTTCCTCACCACACATAAGCATATTGATGTGAAAGGTTATCATTTCGAATTAATCCCATTTGGGGCTGGTAGAAGAATTTGCCCTGGTATTAATTTGGGGCTTCAGATGTTACGCCTAGTCTTGGCCAATTTGCTCCATGCTTTTGACCTCTCAACTCCTTCTAATGAACCGGTTGATATGACTGAGAGCGCCGGATTGACAAACATCAAAGCCACTCCGCTCCAACTCCTTGTTGCTCCACGCCTGCCTCCTCACCTTTACTCGTAACTCAGTTTGGAAGGGATCTAGTATTTCATAGTAAAAGCAATCGTAGAAATGTTTATTCAGGACCTGAATAATACAAATGAATTGCAACTACATATATTCTGTCTATGAGATGTTTCTTACTTGTCCTAAATGGCAGGAAAGAGTAATTAAAACAGAATATACATGCTTAACAGTGATATAGTATGAATCAAAACTACATCATTTTGATCCATATCTTGAGTTGTTTTAGATTAGTGAAAAAAGATGACAGTCAAAGTAAACAGTAGCGCCAGTATTTTTAAACGGTTCTTTTTGTGAAGGTTAGTCCTCTAGTATTAGTACCAAAACTATGGCAGAAGAAAGGGGTCCTCTCACAGGCCACAGCTGCCCACCACTCGCCTCAATTCCCATGCATTTCCTGACACAGCCTTGATCCATCAAAGTCCTGGTAGTTTTAAGTTTTCTTCTAGCGAAAATTCTAAGGATTGGTATAGTGGTTTGTACCAATGCATTGGTAAAGTGGTTTGATGTGGTACGGATGTGGTAGGAGCCAGACACGTTAGGAAAAGCAAAATTCAAGGTTGTTTTTGGTGTGGGTTAAGGCTACCGGAACTTAATGAGTGTTGTGATGGTGGGTTTCACATTGAAATGGCCCAAGACAATTTGTCAGTCACATTGGTTCACCCACGTTAACCCATGTGAAAAGACCCAAGACATTATTATTGTTTTCTAATTTATATACAATAGACATAATGAAGAAAATGCAAAGTTGGATATATAACTGAAAGAAATTAGAAAAAATAAATAATATATGTATGTACAGAATTAGATAAATTTTGATTCATTTACTTACATAAATTGACAAAAGAGTAGATAATTTAAATATTTTGGAAGAAATTTGGAATAATATATACAATTAATTAAACCGATCATAGGAATTAATAATTGTAAAGGAGTAAATGAATGGTTAATTAATTAGTTGAGATGGAATATTTGTAGGAGAAGTAATATGTTGTTTTATTATATGAGAAGTAATTAATATGATTCTTTTATTATATTTGCCGGTGGAACATAAAGAAATGTTTTAAAAATGCATTTGTAATGGTATTAGACCAAATTAATGAGAATGAATTGATGACATAATAACTGCAGTGCATATAGGTGAAATTTAATTAGACCATATTTGTCACTTTTAAATTTTCAGCATTATCATCGCAATCACTTACGAACAAATCTTATATACAGTGACAGTGTATACACTATCACCGTTGAATCTATGACATATATGTAAAAGTTGAATTTTAAATTCAAATTTTGCATATTTGTAATTCATCCAAACGTTGATAGTGCATACACTGTCAGTGTAGGAAAGATTAATCCATCACTTAATTATACTTTTATCATCTGATTAAGATGTTGCTTATGTATTGTCAACCAATACCACAACTAACTTTCACCAATAACCAACCACAAACATTATAATTACCAAGTTCATTAAAATAATGTTAAAAAAACTTTTAAAAGATCAAAGTTTTTTGTTTATTAAAATTTTATACTAATTTCTTCCATATAAAAAGTGATTGTTTAAATTGTACATAGATTGAGTGCGCCCTTTATCACTAGTAATACTAATGCTATTTGTACTAATGTATACATGCTTGAAATCAAATATTCGTATTAATTAAACTATGTAGTGATACAGTTAAGAAGTGTTTTTAATAGGTGTAAATACAAAAATATAACTGCTCATTGTCTATTCTAAAAGTAGGACAACAAACAATCTTCACATTAAAAGTATTCCATATATTTTCATGGATAATATAATACAAGATGACATGCCCGAATTTACTAATGAATGAATAATTTTCTTTCAAATAACATAAAAACTTTTTACTATTGGTACTCCCGAACTTGAACATATTTTTAGGCAAAAGGAGATAAAAATTTATGATTAAGTGACAAATCACCTCCACTTTATTAGAAAATGATATCACAATAATATTAAAACTAAATTATCACTAACCAACCATTATGAAGAAAATAAGTTTAAAAGTTGTAATTTAAATCAATACATAACATATATCCAAAATTTGGAAGAAATACAATTCTTGTTTATAATACTCTGCATGTGTGTAGGACTGATCATTAATGCTTGGATCAAAACAAATTTGGTCCCCAGTGTTTCAAATCTTAAGCATATTTAGTAAATTGACGAAAAAAATGATGATTAAAGATCAAAGTCAAGTTGCCACTACTGAATAGTTTTGACTTTGCATTTTTTATAGCAATGTTTCGAATTTGGATCATCATGGTATCTTAGATTTTAAATAGTGATATTAACGGTTTCAAAGGAAAAGAAATGCAAATTAGATTGAAATTATGTTGAAAATGTGCAAAGGTTCAGGAAACTTCTTTCTTTTATTCTTTTATTCTTTTATTTTGTGTATTCATCCTACTTGTTTCTCATAGACTTTTACTCTTGCATGACTGGTCCCAAATGTAGCATTATATATGTATGTATGCTTTTGCATTATGGAGAATTAATTGATAATGAATTCTTTTTTTTTTTGTTACTTGTATTGATATTTAAACGTTCAATTAGATATCCATTCAAACTATAAAGAATATGAACTATAAGTAAATCAGATTTGTTTTCTTTTTTCAATTTTAATAGATTATCAATTGAATTTAAGATGAAATTAATATTTTGTATAATTGTTTGAATCATTCAATAAAATTCTTAAGGTAATCGGGGGGAGGGTTGTGGTAAAATATTAAAGTAAACAAAGAGCAAAGTAACTATTTTAAAACTTTCCATTGAAACATTGGATTTAATAGACAAAAAACTGAGAAAAGGAAATAAATTGTGCCCCACTACGAGAGCAATTTAGCACGAGTTCAAAGTAATTTAAATGTCTCTTGGTTATATGTAGTTGACCTACTATAGTTTTTTTTTATGAAATATATTTTGATTGTTTTACTTTTTTGGTTCTATAGATAAATAATTCAAATTAGATAACATAGTGTCGTTAACCACTATGTACTCTATATAGAATAATATAGGCACAACATTATCATTTAAGCTAAAAAGTATATCTTCGTTAAATAAGTTAAATTGGATAATAATACACATATGATATACAGAACAAAAATTAAGAGGCTATAGTATAGGAAAAATTGAAATAGGATTTTATTGCTAAAACGATTTTGACTGTTAATGAATGTTAAGTTCCATCAATTGTTCTAAATGTGCTTAAAATTATAAATTTTGGAGACCAAATTTTTTTTATTGAAATATTATCATTTTAATATATAACTAAACATTCACATTCATAACCTGCCTATCATGTGATGCAATTCTCAGCCCACCTCTTTATCAGCTTTTCGGTAATCTTTTAGTTCTACTCTCTTATTTTGTGCTTCATTTTCAGGGTGAAGTCAGCCTTGTCAATTGTCTTTTGGTTCCTATTGACTTGATGTGAGGCAGAATACCATGTACCATTGTGTCAGTCTAATACCAAAGAAATGGTAGAAACCGCTATACCATTTTGAAGAGGCTTCGTTTCTTCTAGATCTTCATATCTGATTCTTGACATATGGCTGAACAGATCTTCATGTGACTTGTCACCAGGGACAAATATACGGTGCCACCCAAGTCAAGAAAATTCATTGAGATGTTATCACAAGACAAGGCTGCAAAGGTAACTACACGTGTATTACCGTCTCTCGAGGATCAAGGCTGTATCATTCAATGTCTCTCGAGGCAAAACGTTTAGGCTCACATGTTTGCTTTTTCCCCCACTTTAAAAAGTATATAACTAGTACTAATTTTAACACATTGCTGCTCCTCTTTGATTGGACTGTCTTAGGGTGCCGGAACTGATTCACTCCACCATATGTCTCTTCCAATATGTTGCCCAATCTTGAGTTCACCACCCTCGGGAGGTCAAGTTGGCAACTAGACCACGACGGAAATAACACTGACTTGACCATTAATCTCTATTGTTGAAAGTTGAAAGCTACAATGGAAACATTTATTAATCTGGAAATATCATCAATAATATCACTGACTTTGGGTCGGTGGCCACCAAAAGGGAACTAAACCCCTCTTTAAGCTGTAAGTCGGGGTTCAAATCGCACTTGCTTTGAAAATTCCTCTACTAGAATAGGATACTCCCCCTTCCTCTACCCTCTACTAGAATCCCTTATACAAATCCTCTTATACAGCCCCTCTACTAGAATAGGATATATTAGATTATATAAATTCCCATATACAAATGTTAATAGATTAGCTTATACAAATACTATTGTTGCCGAAAAAAATCATTAATATCTTCTAGGACGAAACACATTTTTATGCGTGGATCTTTCAATTTTGTCCGGAAGCAAAAAGTAATTTCCAAGGGAAAAAAATGAAAAAAATAGTAGATGGATATTTTTAGAGTATTGATCGTAGCCGCTAGTATTGTGATTTCACGTGAGTTTTTGTATTTGTTATTATTCCTTGGTATACAATTTCATCACATTATTGTACTCATGGCAAAAATAGTATGGATAAATAAAATATTTTATATATATTCAATATAATTTTATAATGTAATTATACACTAAAAATTCAATCATGTATAAAATCAGACTGAATCGCACAAAACACAACAGCATCAGCACCCAATCCTAAATAACCCATCTAAAACCTACGTGAAAAATCGACAAGGTATTAAATATTCATTTGAAGGTTACTTTCATAATTTGCTAAACCTCATTAAGTAATTGATAGTTTGGCCAAACCTTCTGCAAATAAATGTCGTTAACCCAACAAGTTATAGCCTTAGATATTTGGGTATCAATCAAGCATAAATTTCTATAATCATTACATATGGATCATAGTAGCATGAAGACATGCTCTTTAATTTTGTATCGCTAGAGATATTAGTGATACACAAAAGTATCTATGAATGATGATCGGTAAGGTAGGGATACACCGAAAAAATATAGGGCACAAATGATAAACCAGTAAGAGTTGTGTGTAATTTTGAAAGTCACACTCACACCATTTGTGACAATCTTATTTTCCATGCCAGAAATATTCTTTCTTTCTAACAACTTAATAGAAAACAGAAATTATAAGTTTCAAATGTCACGCAACA